CATTTTCTGTTAGTTATTTTGTCCGCGAGTACTTGCCACTTCACATTCTCTTGTTTGGATAACAGTGAGTACTAAGCATAGCTGTCATTCATTCTTTTTTTTATTAATGCCATTCCAATTCCTGTGGCTCTTGCTCAGTTCCTGCTAATCCTAACTCAAATACAGCCTTGATGGGCCGGAAAGGAGTTGGAGAGAATCAAGGTGCAAATCACTGCTGAGTTTGGCTTTGGAGATGGCCACGTTATTGTAATTCCTTGTGTCATCTAATCGTAAGGCTGTATAACTCTTTCAGAGAGGTGTTGTTTAGCATTGCTCCTCAAGGTTTTGGTGTGTTACAAATCCTTTTTTCTGTGCATGATTTATTTTAAATCTTACGGTTGTGATGCAGTGTGGTTTCTCAGACTAGGGACTCTGAGTCCTGTAAGACAAAAATACTTCATGTCATTTATTTGAATAAAAAGAGACTCAAGGCTTCTCCCGACTTGCTTTAGGGTACTCCAAACATTCTAGAGGATCTCTCGCAGCTTATCAAGTTCTTCCATCTTGTAATTAATTAGCAAGTATTAAATGCTACTGTTTTCTGCTCTGAACACGTAGAATGTTACGTAAGTATTAGTGGCGATGGCCACGGCTGCCCAGGTCACCCATTGCAGAGACGGGGTGGACTGTGAAGGTGGAATGCTGGTCATGTATGGGGGTTGGGCTGCTCTGAAAGTTATGTCTCCTGTTTTATGATGTTGGCCCACAACATCAGAGGTGAATGTTGATGGATGTGACAGTGAAGGATGAACTTTTACACCAGTATTCTGCTACATCTTGTTGCCATGTGACAGCTGGCAGCAGAGGGGCAGTCCGACAAAATGACATGTGTCAAGGAAGTACGTATGAAGTAAAGATGTGCTACTGAATTCCTCCATGCAGAAAAGGTGGCACCCATTGGCATTCATTGGCACATGCTGAGGACATATGGAGACCAAACAGTGAATGTGAGCACAGTGAGGCAGCGGGTGCATTTCAGCAGTGGAGTCAGTGACAGCGGGTCGCCTCCGCTCATGCAGATTTTTACAAGCACAGTGTGCAGGCTCTTGGTCAGCACTGGTGAAAATGATGGTGACTGTTGAAAAATTGTGTTATGTCGCTAAGAATTTGCTCTTTCAAATAGCGTTATTGTGCTCTTTGCATCTGTTTTTAGTTCCCATAAGAGGAGGCATTACTTTGGAGCAATCTACTGAAATACATGCATGTCTACATATATTTTTACAAAACATCTACAAAATATACATTTTTAATATTTATATAATTATAAATATTGCAGAAATACACACACATTATATGTAAATATAAAAGTGATGAGAGGCTGCTCTTGTTAGGTGCTGGAAGGGCTGTGGTGCTACCTGGCCCCATCCTGCTCAGCCCATGGCCGCCCAGAACAGCTCCCTGCTTCCTGGAGTTGGGTGTGGAAGGAGTGGGAAACCAAGGCAGGGCAGGGATGGTCCAGTAGTGAGATGCTCCTGCTTCAACACGAGGCAGGCTAGCAGACGTGTGACTGTGACACTGAGAGAAGCGGACCATGTGGATGTGATGGAGGGTGTTCAGCAAAGGTACAGAGCAGCACCAAGTGAAGTATTTTGGTATGTTGTGGTGCAGGCACATGGAACGAGCAATGTGTCATCTGAGAACCAAGCCCACTTTTTTAACAATGCAGTGAAATATACAAGGAAAATAACCCCTCTCCCAGGCTTGTGTATTTACATATTTACAGTCAGGCAATTTAAATGGAAAATGTTTAACTGCCACAAATAAGTATATAATCAGAAGTTCTTAATTAATGTCTGATTATCTTGAAACAGTAATTAATCTGTTTTTGTTTTTGTTTTTTGAATGAAAATGATGTATTTTGGAGAAGATTAAGAGAAAAGATGGTACTTGCCTGATTCTTAAGGGCACATTTTCTGTTCCTTCTGGGTAATGTGGGTGTTACTTGAAGTACACTCCGATTCCCACTAGAGGGGGGTCCTCTCAGGCTAGCTTGTAATGCATTTTGTGGGTTGTTTATTTTTTTTTTCTTTTTCTTTTCTTTTTTTTTTTGAAATTCAGCATGAGAAAAACATTGCAGTGTTGCACAGCTTGTTTCAATACTTTATGTCGTGTATCTTACAGTGTCAGCAGTTACTTGTCTCTTACTGCATTTTATACAGAGGTGAAGACCAAAATGAATGGATCAATATGGTAATGCAGGAGTAAACACAGTAGTAACTAAGCATACAGAGTGTGTTTTATTGCACCATCCTCAACATGAGATTTTATCGCAGAAATTGTGTGATTGCTCTTGGAAAAACAGAAGTGGTATTATCAGACTGTTCAATAACATTTTTTGTTAGAATTACCATCTATACCAGTAGCAGCAATCTGAACCATTTTATTGTCTCTGTGAGCCTTACATTTCTAAGCATTAAACAAAAAAAAATCCTACCTATAAAAGAGAGCACAGAAACACAAACTTCTGTTTTGCTGTCTGATGTCACAGTCTGTTCCTCTTCACAACATCCTGGTGAAAGAAAAGAGACCTGACTTTGGTAAACATGCTGTGTTAATTTTTGCATTTTGAACTATTTGTTCATCACTGAGTGACCAGGAGCTTAATTAGCACAGCCCACGTGCTGACAGTGCCACTTCCCTGCGTGGTGACGTCCCAGTGAAGTGAGGTGGCCTCTCCACAGGTTGGACAAAGGATGGATACCCAACAAAGACCACTTTGGGTTGATCTTTGCAGGAGTTTTGTGCCATCTGTGCTGTGTTCCAACACCGGGAGCGCCGAATGTGGAGCAGTGCAGAGAGGAGCAACTCTGGGGAGGTTCTGTGAGCCAATAGCCCGGCTGGGGCCACAGGGAGAGCAGAGGATGAGGAAGGGACCGCAGGGCAAAGCAGACAGGGTGAGCTGTGGTCATCAGCATAGCTGGATCCAAGGAGGGACCAAAGAAGGAGCCAGTGGCACAAGGAAGGTTCTACTTTCATTAGTGAGTCTCATGATAACCAGTGACCAGCTCCATTTGGAACCAGTGCAGTAGGATGGCATCTAAGATAGATGAATAGCACAGTATGGGGTAGAGATAATGGGGTAGAGATAACTGAGTAGATTCTGAACAAGGTTGTTAGAGTTTTGCTGTGTATGTAGTTGCTGAAGCAAGATGTTATACCAAAGCAGCCTGGTGACACTGAACACTCAGTTTAGATAGGTATCATGTTAACCCTAGGTGGACTGCTTCTGACACTGCAATTAGCTTCCTTCAGAAGCAACTTGAGGGACTGAATTGGGGACGGTATACTAACAGGTCATTCTTCTACTTCCAATCCAGTGTCTGATTATTCTTTTTGGCCCTGGGCAAGTCACTTAACCCTCTGTCTGTTTCTTCATCTGTAAAATATATTATGGATATTTATCAGTCTCACCAGGACTGATTGTTCAATATTTATAAAGTGCCTAAAGGATTAGAAGCTTAATCTAAGTAGCTATTACATATCATCTCAGATTGGTTTTATTTACTTGGATATTTTTTTTTCTGCCTCCTATTCAGTGAGATGTTGTTTTGTAGCCTCTTACTGCCTTTCCTAATCAGTTGGACAGGTCACAATTAGGTAACTTCAGGTTCGTTTTCTTCTTTTTACTCTTAGTTCCTATAAATGCTTCTTCTCTTCTCCCCCCCCTCCACCCTTTTCTTCCCTTTTTTAATTTAGAGATGAAGAGATACCATATGTTACTAGATCATGACATAAATATATTTAAGTGCTGCCATCATTGTTAGTTTATCAGCCTTTCCATTATAAACCCTCTTGTTCAGGGGTTTATAACTCTGGCATTATAATGTGCTTCGGGCTGAAACTTGACATTCATTTTTTCTGTCTTGATTTGCTTTAAATCCTTCACTCTTCTTAAGTTAAACTGGAGATTAGATACATTAGTTATAGTTATACTAGTTATATAAATTATAATGCAGCAGTAGGCATTTTAAATAGGATGTAAATCAGAGAAATAGAGAATTTCCTAGTTGTTAAACTATGAGCCTGGGAGTAGAAATCTGGGATTCTTTTCCTGAGTCACGTCCCCTGTTTGGCACATGACTGCTAAGAAATTACTTAACCTCTTTCTGCCTCACTCTGTTTTCTTTATATTGGGAGGATGACATTTTCCTACCTCACTAGTGTATTGGGAAGCTTAATTAATTAGAATTCATAAAAGCACTGAGGTTCTCAGGTGAAAGGTGCTGAAGTGTGAAGTATTTTTAAGGAGACTAATGAAAAATCGGTGTGCCTGTTTTTCTGTGTCTGTTGTCTCAGATTAATGCGTATCAGCTCTTGGAACAGTGGCTACATGGCAACCAGCAAGGTGTGCTGGATTTGGGGCATCGCTAGGTCACTTCACAGCTTGCAGTCCTCAAGCTTTCATACGCTTGCTGTATTGTGCTTCTGGATAGTCTTGGCCTCCGGGCAGTTCATCTTCCCTCAGCGCTACGATTCTTAAAGAATTTGCTTTGCTGAAGGCAGGAGAGGGGCCTGTGAGTCAAACTTGGGCCAAGGAGCTTCCAACTGGTGCTGATGCAGGCCTCATCAGGTGGTAATGCAAAGGGAAGAGCTCAGCTGTTGCCAGTCTTTAATTTTACACGATGTTGTCACAGCAGGTGGTGCAGGTTGTGCTCAGGGAGTTTTTTGGTGTAACCAGAAGTCACCTGAAGAGCAGTGTTCCAGTTGTGCTCCATTATATGTTGGGGTACTGACAGATAGATACTTTCCACACCATTTAGGTTGAGCTTCTGCTTCCTTTCTTTTGAGATTTTGTTGGCAGATAATAGTTCAGCATGTCCCAGTCTACGTAGACTTTCCTTGGGCTGGTCCAAGCTGATGTCCTTTGTGGAAAACTGCTCTGCCTGGACTGTGGTGCTATGCTCAGGAGAGGTTGCTGGTAGTGGCTACGTTTGAAATGATCTTTCTCCTTATAATTGCAGGTTGAAGTCTTGGCCTCCGAGGATGCTACATTTGGACACAAGGTCTGTAGTTTAATGCAGTTTTGCTCTGTAGGTCCCATCTGTTCAAATTGCTGGATGTGGTGTCACGAAAGATGGTAATTGTCAGCCTAAGAGTTGAGCATCCTGTGACTTACATTCACCAATTTGAAAAGCTTCCCCTAGGTGTGGTGTTCTGAGGTGGGCATGTGGGCTCTGTTACTCTGTATGGAGCACTTGAGCAGATATTACTTGGGGAAGGCCATGTGGAAACAGGGAACTTCTGCTTCGTAGTCACTTTTAAGCTGTCTCATTGTTGAGTTTGTTGGTGTTTGGTAGATTTACACTTAAAAATCCCACTTCTTACCTGCTTTGAAGTCTGTTGAGTAAGCTACTTTGTTCTCAGTCCTTTTTCACAGTGCATCACAAATAGAAAGTAGTATGCTGAACAGCCGCTTCGCCCTGTGTGCAGTTGTAGATCAGTGTATGGTATACGGCACGCGTGTTGGAGAGAACACTTGAAACCTGCTCTGCAAAGTGGGTAGGCAGTACCCTAGTTATTGCCTGAATTTCTTTGGCCAGCGAGCCTTACGGCAGTGAGTGTCCTTTTAATTGAACATTATTAGCAGATGATTTTAGGAAAAGGCAGATTGTGTGTAGGCTACATCTATTTAACTAGGAAGAGAGTGGGTATGGGAGGGGAAGGAGGAGATTAGAGGAACAGTAGGCTAAAGCTTGACAACGAAGAGTTTCCTGCTGCTGAATGTCCCCATGCTGTGATACTACAGCAAGTGAGAAAATAACAGCACTATTACTTAATGCCAAAGTGAAAAAAAAATCAAGAAAAGATGAAATGAGTTTTCCAAGTTTATGCAAGAATACCCTAAGCAAAATTAACCCACAGGAAAAAAAAACCCAAACCTTTAAAAGCATCTAAATATTCATGATGCCAGAATTTACAGTTGCGTCTATATTGTATATTTTTATGTTGATATGTGATGAAGTGATTTAAAAGAATTATTATGAACTGTGCTACTCTGGTATTATTTGAAATATTTAATGTATAATATTCTGCAGCATTTTCTGGTTTTTGTTTTGTTTTTTATTATTATTTAATACCCAGCATGTGTACAGAATATTTGTTGAATATTTAATAAACCTCAAGAGTAAGCTTTTGTGCAGTTATCTCCATAATCCTTCAGACTAGATGGGTAAACAGCAATATTACTGAAGCTGGTTGATACAGCTAGTGATTCTTACAACTGAAACACTGTGGAGGAGGCTTCTTGCTGGTTTTTTATGGTTAAACTTGCAGGGTGTTTTTCAGTCTTCCAGTTGTCTTCATCATTTGAAGCTCCTTCCTATTACCAAAGGCCTTAAGAGTGTTCTGTTGCTAAGCTTTAGTTTTTCAAAACTAAATCAATACTACTGCTAACTCTTTACATCATATTCTGGAGTCCCAAGGAAACTGTCTGTGAGATTCAGTTTCAGAATGACCTGGGTCATTTTACTCTCATAAAGAAGTATTCTTACGCTGTGTAACAAACTAGATATATCTAGGAACTTTGTATGTCTTTTTTTCCTCAATTGAGAAAAAGGTAAGCGTATCATTCCAAATTCATTAATCTCAGAATTTATCTTAGTTGTCTACTTAGGCATTCTGTGAAAGCCTCCTCTCCCTTAAGAAACACTTCCTCTCCCGTCTGTCGCAATGAGACATAAGCATTAGTAACTCTGTTCTATTGGTATGCCCATGGAGAATGCATGCAAACACAATTTTTAGAAAGAAAAATGTTTTTTATTTTTTAAGTTGGAAAACAAGTTTGTATGGAAAATGTCATACAGCATAGTTGAGGAATATGTAAGGTCATAGTTTTCATGAAACAGCACTTTCTTCGATACAAGCTTTTAGCCTGAATTTCTTTTCCAGCTTTAACGTAGGCAGTTGGGGGCCTTATCTTGACAGTTTTGGGTTGAGATCTGGCTCAGCAGCTAATATTTCAAGTCCAGTCTGTATGCACATGCAGAAACATAATTTGTGGCAGAGGGTGTCTGGTCTCTTGGCTATACCCATTCCACCAATCCGTGAACACTTATAACTTAGTTTTAGGCTGTGTTTCCTGTAGATGATGGAATACTGTTTTTGAAAAGGAGTACTTCTAGAATGCAGAAAGAGCTTACAATTTCTTATTTATCTCTTAGTCTTAAATTCTCCTTCACTGCTTACTGGTAGTGAATGGGGCCATTTCCCAAGAACACGTGCTGAATGAGACAGCATAACGGTCACCCTCACCATAGTTGTTGGCTGTGAAGGGAAGATCTGGATGATGTAGTCTTTTGAGTCAGTGATGATCAGAAGGATAAGCGCACACAGAAATCAGCTACAGGGTGTATTTGATGTAGGATGTGCATTTGGATTGGACAAAATAGGCTTTTATTTTAGCAAAGAAAGTTGAAACAAAAGCTATTGTTTCTCACTGTAAATAAGCCCAGGGAAGAGGTACCTTGAAGTGCCAAGTCTTGTTTTCACTCTGTAAACACAGAACAGGTGCAAACTGCAGACTGTTAGTAATTGTCCTTCAGAATGTTCCCTCCATCTCACTATTTTAATAAGAAAGCAATCTTTCCAAAACAAAGGTAGAGTATAAGGCAAAATGGAGTAAAAAAGGTATTTTTAATACAGACCCCCCGCCCCCCCCCTTCGTGTGTGTGTGTGTGCGCGCGCGCATATGTGAGATCAGGACTCTTTTATGGCTCACAGAAGTTTAAGCCATGGAAATAAGAAATGATGTTTGATAAGTACGAATATGCGCAAATTTGATATTGTTACTGTCCTTTGGTTGAATGATAGAGAAGCAAAGGCACTCTGTTTGTTTGTTTATTGCAATTAGTCTTGCTAATTTTGTCAGCTTGCCATAGTAGCATTTTTGAAGGTGGTACATGGGGCATTCAGTTTTACTTACGTATGTATTTTTGTGTGCGTATGTATGTGTCATAAAGAAAAAAATACCCAGTTTTTGGCTGATCTTTTGGTACTTAAAATGGTTGCAATGTGCATGGTTGTTGATGGAGAGATGTGGGTGAAATGACCACCTAGCAAATCATGGGCAGTTGATGGGTGATGTGGGACAGACTTGCCAGTTGTGCACACCGCATTCAATTCTGCTGAGTATTAGCTTATACATGCATTGTGTCTTTGGAAATGTACTTGTGGAGAACCTCACATAGCGTGACTGGATAGAGCAATGTCTGCCTGAGTCTGCAGTCAGCACACAAGAATGTATTTAAAAGTTGGAAGTTCTTTCAGCCTAATGATGATGTGTAAAATACAAACAGTGCCGATTTATTTTGTGTTGATTTTAGCTGGAATAGGAAGGTAGATTTTGGCAGATGGAACCAGCGCTGCCAGGTGGTAAAGAAAATTAGGAGGGATATGAAGATGTGAAAAAGAAGGAGGAGTAAGGTGTGCAGAGCAGTAATGGGAGGTGAAAGGCTTGACTGTTTTGAGTGATACCGATTTAAACACCAAGGCAGTAAACAAATAAAAATAATGGTGTCTGTGAGGTTTTTAAATCCTAGGAAATTCAGATGCTTAATTATAGTTAGAATGGAACTTATTAGTCTGAAAGGTTGGTTATTGTGTAAAGATTTAACCAGCGTTGCTATGGGAGTCTGGTGTTGGTGTTGGTCGGCGTTACGGTGCGGAAAGCAGTGGTAAATATTTCAGACGGGTTGAAAACTCTGTTTGGCCCTATGGAGAGAATGAGACGCTCGGCTTCTTTCCTCTTTGTGCTCCGTTTTCTATGCCTTCTTCCCCTTCCTTCCCCAGGCAGGGCCCATGCTGCCAGCACCAACCTGACCCACATACCGTGGCGGAGGTGGCTTTACCCGGTAGGACAGACCGGGATCCGCTCGCCCACGCGGCCGTCTGGCTGCAGCCATGTCGGTGCCGGGCACTCGGGGCCGGCCGCGTGGTGCTCGCACAGACCCGTGCTCGTGGCAACCGGCGGCTGCGTGTCGGCGGGAAAAGAGACGCTGGTGTCCCCGCAGTGGGAGAGCTCGCAGAGAGCACGGCTCTCCTGCTCGGGAGCCGGCTTTAATCCTCCCATTGTGTGTACTTTTAAGCTGTGTTGTGATGTAATTGGCTTAATCATTACTATTATGTCGCTTTGCACAAGTAAAGATTGTAATTTGACATATGGAAATAAACGGCAACTGGATTAGTGATATGCAGGTGTCACTTGGAAACGGGGCAGGCGAGAGCCCCGCGGTGTTTGGCAGGGGTGCTGGTAGCGCATCGAGGCACGTTCCCGCAGCGCTGTGCTCGGGCGTAAGACCAGCCGCACCTGGGGGCCGTGCTGCTGGTGCTGCGGGACCGCTGCTGAGCCCCGCGGGATGCGCTCGCTGCTGGGTGACCTTATGTTTCCTCGGGGAGGAGAAAAGTACAGGAGGAAGATTTCTCTTCGGTGGGGGTGCAGCTCTGGTAAACAAGTGCCTTGGAGGTGGCATTTCTGGTGCGGCTCCGTCAGCCTGGTGGAGCTTCTGGTGGTGTTGGTGGAAGTGGCTGCAGTGTTGTTCTGTGGCACAGCGTGAAGCGGTGACCTCATCGCCGTCACTTAATAATTCTGCAGGTTATCGACGGAGTCTATTCCTAAGACTTTTAAATGTCTGCTGCTGGGTTGTGTTTTTTTAATGCTCTTTCTTTGACACAGGATATACAGTTTTAAGAATCGTGCTCAGGACTAAAATCTCTTTTCCCCTCCTACCCCATACTGCTTTTGCACAAGCTTACTAAGATTTTGTTTTGCTTTTGTCCGCCTTGCAAATGTTGCTTTATTCCAGTACTCAGAGCATTACAGTGCATTTCTGCAGCCTGCTTGCTTCCACACTCCAGGTACCAGAAGTTCAGATCCCGAGGGAAAACACAGCTGCACGGTGTAAGTGCGTGCCTGCTCCATGATTTGAAGTGAAGGACACCAAAGAGGATACATTTGGTGACTGATTGTGCGTTATAACTGTGCAAATCCAGAAGGAAACTGTTGTTC